AATTATATATTGATATGTGTACTTTATAAAAATGGTTTATTTTTATTTTTCGTAAATTTTTTTAGCTAACTGTATTTCAAAGTCAGTGGACGATTTTTTTTTTCAAATACCGCGTTATAGATATTATACTGTATATTATTAAGTGTAATGTGAATACTGTAAATTACCGACTGTTTTAGAAGAAAAAAGCTATAAACATATTTTTACATTAAACAAACGAAACCCTTTTGGTACTTTTACTACTACCCTTTAAGTCTAATACAAAGAACCATAAAATTATATTTACTAGTTTTCTCTGCAGTCTTCTCATATCAATTTGATACCTAAGTGTCGATTTCAGTTTAAAATAAAATACCCTAACTTTCAGTTTAACTTATTCTATACATTTTACGTTATTTTTTCTGTTAGTAACCGATAATTTTTATCACTTTGTTTTCCGGTTCCGTTATTTTTCAATAAAGTATTTTGTTTCGTATATTCTTGAAAGTAATAAATATTCAGAAGTGCGTGGAGTTCATGTTTCAAATTGCATAAAGTTTCAAATCACGGTATCCGGTGTCGCACATCTATTGAATTTATTTAACATTAAATTATCCGCACAGTCTTTCAACGATTATGTACACAAATTTAATTGCAAAACGTTTAATTGGTTCAAAGTATTGCTGTAAGCCAGTATCACACAATACAATACTACTACTATTATTATACTTAAACGTACATAGGTACGTTTAAGTATAATAATTTGTCTTTCATTTGTTAGTAAACGATTTTTTAACGACATATACGAACTTGTTTAATACGTTTTATTTAGAAATTTTTCGAAATTTTGTTTTGAAAATTTGCAAATTATGATAGTTGTACCTGTTTTGTAAGGCTGATTTATTATTTTGCTCAGATGGTTCCTTAAGCCGCGTTGAACATTTTGTACCTATAGGTTTTAAAAGCCTTGTGTGTCACACGTAATAATTGTATGTTTGGGAACATTATGCATGTATACTAAACGCGTGTTTATTATAAAATCATTTTTCATCGTTTAGATAGAGAGGGGGAGGGTGAAGAGTACATATTAGATAGCAGTTATAGAGAGCACTTTGTTGTTTAACAATAATTTTGTTTTATTTTTTGCATATAGACAGATCGAGAAGCGTGGATAAATAAGATAATAGCGTGGTCGATCCCTCTTTGCTTTATCCTGGTAGGGTTAAAGCGTATAAGAAGAATAGATAATACTCAGAGGTGCAACCAACAGGGGTTGACTTTTGATCTGGACCTCCCCCCCCTCCTTGGATCGTATAAATGTAAAAAACAAACTCTAGCCAATTTCTACGCTCCACGAAAAAACATTAAATCAAGGATATGTTCTTAGTCTTATAGATCATAAAAAACCAACTTAGTAGTAAAATTCATTAATTGATAAAAATCGTAAAACGAAATGCCACACAAATTTTGGAATGATCTCCAGAGGTAAAACATATCCATGTCAATGACACTTGAATTTTGCATAAATATAATATGTATTAAATATTACTATTGTATATTTAGATCATTAACCAGTTTTTTTTTTGTATAGTTATGGTGTTTGACTATTGCGTTATGAAATGTTCATTAGATAAGTTCAATTTGAAATTTTATACTTAGTTGTGCTATGAAGGAATTGTTCATATTTGGATCTTTTCCCCCTTCTCTTTTTAGATAAAACATAGTTGTGCCACTGGTAATATCTATGAACTATTCATCAACGTTTTCTAAATTATATTATGTGTTATTACTATGACAATATTCATATTCTTTCTTTATAAATTTAACATCATGCATCAAAAAGTTTAAGAATATTTTAAGCTTTGTTTATACAGTGTTTAAGTTTGTAACTGTTTTTATAAATGTTTGGCTGTAAATGTTTAACGGTATCTAACATGATAATTTTGTTAAAGTTATGGCCTCCAGTTTGTGTGGTATATTGGAATATTATGTTCACAGCTTGTGATTTTGCCTTGACCCGAATTTATTTTTTTTTGCTTTAGATTCAAGTTTTATTTAACATTAGCACAGTTTTAAAGCCATTTTGGACATTTTTCATTCCGATAACGACGTTATAGTTAAGTTAAGCCGGGATGAACGGTCGAGCCTGTTCTTGAAATAAAAATCTTAAGTATACCTGCCTTATTACCTTGACAATAATAATTTTAAAAGTATATTGCGTTATGCGAACTTGTTGGGTTTGAATGGCATATTATTTATACAAGCGTGGGCCGTGGAGTATAACAAATAATCAAACTAAATATTTGCTGACGGCTGCAGCTGACTGATATTGTATGTATCGAACGGTGTGGGTCAACGCTTTTGTTTCATTTTTTTCCCGTGTCGGGCATTAATGTTGTTCAAAAACATGTCAACTCCTCGCATCAATAACACCGCAGATACAGCGCATATTGTCTGAAAAAAGGCTATTTGTGTTCTCCATTTATCACTTGTCCATTATAAACTTATCATTAATAATAATTTCGGATGTGTAGCGTAAGCTAATCGCGGTAGCGTGAAGTAAAAGCTATCAATACTTAATAATATTTTTTTTCAACGTTAAGTTTTTTCCCCTACACGCGTTATGATAAAAAAACATATCTAATACAATCCATGTTGTGAGAAGGCAAAACATAATAAATTATATATTGTGTACGTCTCTAGAATTTAATATGGTTATGTTAGGTACTTGTTGTGTAGTAAATCATTTAGGGTACATGTGGGTAGAATGTTTTAGTATAGGCTGAGAACAAAATCGAAAAGCTGCGTGTATTCATTACAAAAAAACCATTATCACCGCATTGCTGGCATTTGTAACGAAAATAATATTTAGAAAGTTGCCAATAAATGACCATAATACGTGCATACGGTCAAGTAGTATAATATTATCTTTGTTTATAGGTACGTTGAGAAATTTTCATCCCAAACGCAATATAGAATTGATAAAATCATTGAGTTTTCTTTATTGTATTTGAATCGCTTTTTGTTAATAGCGCATAAAAAACTTTCAAAATGTGGTAACTTTGTAAATAATTGTTTTTATGTGCATCATGACGTGCATAATACTCGACATTTATACCAAATTTCGATACTGTAAAAATATTTAATTAAAGTTTATACTAGTTGAAGTTGCAAAACAATTTAACAAAAAATTTAACATATGCCCTTTTAACAAAAAGCGATTCATTTGTAAACAACACCTTCAAAGGCAATTATCATGGTTAACAATACTTAAAATGTTTGAAAAATGGGAAATACTTGAGGGAAACTATTAAATATATATAAATAAAAATAATAATATGGTAAACATTAATTATTTTCCAACAACTAAGTAAAATAAACCGCGAATTCTGATAATTTATTTGACTGAAATATCTAATTACAATGACTACTTGTTGTTGTCTATTACTGTCATTCAGATAGAATTTACAATATTGAAAACCTTTTTTAACGCATAGTACGCGTTCTAAACATTGGCGGTTGAAAATTATACCTATGTTATTATTAAATGATAATTTTCCACCGTTTCGGGTTTCCTCAATTAATAACGCCACTATGAATTTAACTAATAAATGAACTAAAAAACACACTTAGCTTAAAATTGATAAAATATATAGTGTTTGTCCATACACAAGCGGTACTAATTCTATTTAATAAACAGTTTTAGGAAAAACAACTTCTCTTGAGTATTAATTTGAAATAAGTAATATTCTTGGCCCTTAGGTTTAATATTCCAAACAAATAAAACATATTTTGTACTAGTAATTTAACATATTTACTTTCTTTTACAACATCTATTATTTACAGTTTAATACAAAACCTTATTTTCGGGCTACCAACAGTTCTTTGACTACAAATATCATGAAATAATTGTCTAATACACCATAGAACAATATAATATCAATGTTAGACGTGTAAAAACTAAGACAGTAGGTGTGCTAAAACATTGATAATATATTATATTTGCATTTCAACAGTATTTTAAAAAAAAAAACACCTAAAAAAATGTTAATATTTAATATTTGCCTCGTGTAAAAATAACTATTAACTTTGATATTCTTGATTCAACGAAGGAAGTAATGTTTTTCGGACTGTTATAATAGGAAGATGTAGTCCGAGTGCTTTTGTATATTGCTCATTTACGTTCGCAGTTGCCCTTCGTATTTAACCTTCTCCCATTTTTTTTTTAAAATTAAAATCGAATTAAAAATGTTACACTAAAGGTGTAGTCCTGAACGAATTAACGTCGATTTGGGAAACGAAACTAAGCAAAATTAAAATATTATGGCTCACCGTAGAACACCGGACACCGACGATGCGCTTAATGGGAGATACCTTTGAGTAGGTACATGGTTGCCGTTATTGTATAGTGTTTAAACAGTTGCAACTGGTGCGTTCACTACTGGACGGCATCTGGCTACTTGAATAAATGAGTTTTTCCAGACCGAGTTATCTCGGTAGCCGTACAAAGCCCGTGGAATATCATTAAAAAAAAAAATTAATTATCGATTTGAAGCTGTTTAAACTTCACGAGGAATTCATTTAACAAAAAAATTAATTCAAATTACATTTATATATTCCAGCGTGTACAAAGATAACATGACGACCAATGATGTGATATATAAGATAAAATAAATTAACAAACTATAATGATGTATTAGTCACGAGCGGGCTATAGTATTTTTGTAAGTAGTTTTGTTAAATTAATTGCAAACGCTTTTCATCGGAGCGCTCTTCTCCGCCTTTTCGTCAGTTAAATTAAACTGGGAGCCGATGACAAAAAAAAACGAAAACAAACGATTTGTCTTGGAACTTTGGGAAATAAAACAAAGAACGCTTCGCTTAAAATAATTTTATTTATTAAGGGCGGATTATTGTTATACTGTTACCAAGTCACACAGTCATACAGACTTTTGTAGTGAAAATGGCGATTCAAAAACATATGGAACGGCTCTGTTTATAGTCCGTATTTAGGCACTTACCTCGATTCGGTACATCTTAGGAATTCACATCTAGAATGGCAGTCGGTGGACGAAAATGCATAATATATATGTAAATTTAACTAAAAACGCTTATGACGATGGAAAAATTGCTAACAAAAAGGAAAAGTAACCGCAAGACAAGATAACAGCTGCAGGGCGTATGTTTGTGTAATGGTCTAAACGCAACTGTCGAGCGGGTGACAAACGCCGTGTAACCGTACACGCCTAATTATATTGCAAACATATGTATAACATCACTCGTTTATTACACGCATAGATGTAATTTAAAACGAGCTGCGGGACCCGCATCGTATTTAGGTCAACAGCAGGAGGAGCACCTAAAATACCCTAAAATCTTCGGCATGTAGTTTTCCAAATGTCCAAGTTTCGGCAATCGAATAGAAAAATTCAAAGCAAACGAAAATCCAAAAATAACTTGTATCATTGTGTGTCAGCACCGTATTGTAATTTGTTATCTATAATACACATAATGATTAGCTTCACATCCAAATTCTAGCAGTCAGTTTTGATGACGGAAAAAAATGTATGTATGAACGCTTTTTTTGAAAAGCATTTGTAACACATTTGGGGTGGGGAGGAGTTTAACGGGTATATTCGGTTTAGAATGGTTTGGTATGGTATAAGAAGAAATAAAAAATCATTGGCTAAATGATAAGAGATTGCTGGTATGCAAATCATCTGATAAGAGATGATTGATAAGTCAGGACCGAAGTCGCCATTTTCACAGCCAATATACATTCTTAATATCCGTTCATGTGATTATGCGATTATTGTTAATAGTATTTTTTCAACGAGATTTAAATTAATGTTGGGTTTAAAAGAAGAAATTATTAAGGGCACTGAGGACGTTTCCATGCGATTTCAGAGGTTTTTGAGAAACGCATTTCTTTGAAAACTGTGCGAATTCATTGAATCGAATCTTAACCGAATTCAACGAACCACATTTAATCTTTGCTGGTTCTCTGGTAAGAAAAAATAAGAAAACTCAATTTATTATGATCAGTGTAAGAAAGATATTCATAGTTTTTTTTTAATTTCCTCTCCTCTTCCACCGATATTTAAAATAAAAGCAGGCCAATATCTTTTTTAGATCTCCAATTAAGATTCTTGAACAGCAAAAAACATAATATTACAGGAAACGATTGATTTTTGTATGATATTAAGTATGATTGGCCGATCTTAGCATCTTCAAATAATTATATAAAGTGTTTCCAACCTTGTAAATATTTATTATTGTATATTAAACGACGCAGAATAAAAAAAATATATATAGTAAAAATAAAAAAAAGATCTTTTCATTATTTCGTCGGTGCTTTGTGTAACTATATATGCTATATTTAACTATACAATTTTAATGTTTTTTTATGTCTATTATTATATGTATGTTGTAACTATATAAATATTTATATGTTGAAATATTTTCATGTTGAATGGCATCTAAGATATTTTGTGTTATTGTTTAAATATTTTTGCTATCACAGGTTTCAAATAAGGAAGGATTTTCACTTGTCATTAGATGTGTTATTAAAGTATGCAATATCTTTAGTCTATTTATCAAAACTTCTATTTCTCTTGGTAGATATAGAGGTGGCCAATTGTACTTATATATTGATTTTTATTTCATATAATATTGTCCTTTGATTTTTCCAGTGTAGTTAGGTATATGTTAAAATCTTTTGACTATAATATATACATTTGTTTTTTTTTTAAATTATTTTTTTGTGATTTACAACGTCACTAATGTTGCATTTGAGACACTATACATTTTATTCATCTTAAAACTCGTGTATATTAAATGTATAATATAACAAGTAAAAACTAACGTGGACACTTAACTGTGGAGATGTTACCTATAACTTAAGTTTTAAATCTGAGCTCAAATATACATGCACAAAGTACATACTACATATACCAAGAGATTTTTCGATTTTGGGAAGTACTATTACATGCGGTTATGTCCTGGTTGGTTCGAACGTCTGTAAAAAGAATAGGTACTTAATGTTTATTATCTTTTTTGTTAGTTTCACAATATTTCTTCGAGGAGCTATTATTTATAGTTATACAACTTTGACAAAGAACCTATTGATTTTTTAAGGAACTTTAAAAATATTCATTCACACAGAATTCTCAATTCTTCACGCGCTTTCTGATGTTTTTCAGTTTTCTTTTGTAATGCAGAATACTTGGACATCTATACTTGGATATATTGCTATTTCAAAAGTAAAAAAAAAAAAAATCAGAATTTAAAAATCGATCGCTTTCATGTTGTTCGGCGTCAAGAGATATTACAGCCAATGGATGTGGAATTCGTTTCGATTTGGTCTGACTAGCTCCCATGTTGTTTTATTACCTATATCACTGGGATGTGTGCGATAAAATAAAAATACTTAGCACATAATATTTACCCAGAGAGCCTGCTGCTTTTGAGAAAACATGATAAAACCATCGAAGCTATAATATCCTGTATGGGAAATACGGTATGAAATGGGAACAGGGAACCTTTTTCTAAAAACACTCTTTTACTATAATGCCAGACGATAAATTAATTTATTATGTCATAATAAAATTCAACGGTACACAAAAACGTTTATACTTTAATAGTACGTCATATATAATACATATTAAGCTCTCAGCTAATAATATAATTAAGCTATAGTTAAGCTTATTAGCCAATAATCATAGTATATTCTATCTAATCATAATTGAATACGAAAAAAAAAAAAAAAATATATATATATATATATTATCTTATTTTTTTAAATATTAGCTTCGCATCAAAGCACGGTGCTAAAAAGCTATTTTGTTTTACAAAGAAGTATTTTTATTTATTTTATTTTTGTGTCCCGCGATATTTCCGAAACCAAAGGAATAAATAATAAAAACAAGTTTTGGAAAGATTATAATCCTTGAGCTTTCGGTCAGGTAAGCATTTTTAATCCCAAAATAATAGGGGGCTACCGGAATAAATATGGGAAATACTAACGTGGTGTTATACAAGAATTTTGCAAATTAATTTGTTTTCCAATTACCGACATCTGAGTTTCCAAGAAAAGAATCATCTTTTCTGTTTAGGTTTCAGGTGCGGACATATCCTATGGTAAACGCTTAAAGAATACACCGATTTGGGACGACCGTTTAGCGAACAACCCGGAGACGTGAGAAATGGTTGCGGATAATGAGGCGTAAAAGGGTTCAAATTAGAGCATCTGACCTAAATAATGTAAGACAAGACGAAAAGAAATTTAGCAGATTAATCTTCGGAGGAAAAACTGCTCCTTCATTACTTTTATTTGAAACAATTCCACTTTCGTAGCCATTAATATGCTAAAACAAGGGAAGGAAACATGTTACGTTTACCTTAAGAGCCTTCATCCATAATATTTTTACTGGAAATCGTTAACCGTTTAGAGTCTTTATTCTGTTTAACGATTTTTCAAAAACAATTTTGCTACATTTCGTTCATTGCATGTTTTATATTTTCAATACAAGACACTGTCGTTGCATAATGCATTGTTTATAAAGAAAAATAGCGATGGGACGGGTATGATTAATTTTTATGTTTTTTTTTAATTTATACTTTTGCTTTCGTAGAAAATCCTATACAAGGGAGATATGTTGTTTTTTATGTGAAAAAGTTAGTTTTAAAACGTAGGCTGCCTAAGTGTTATATTATTATTATTTTACTGTTATTGTATAATGTTGTTTTATTGTCTGCAACCGACTTGGCCATGCGGTGAACGCGGTTCGCTCTGTCGTTTTAGTTTCCACACTATACTATATCAAAGTTTATGCGATGGTCTAGCTGAAATATTACTATACACTAGCATAACTTCCAGATATAATGTATTTGTTGTTATTAATATTTATTTTCTTTTTGTTTTAGACTGTTCGTGTCACTGAACTCTTATAAATATTGCAGATTCAAACGTCAGTCGTCGAACGTGCCTGCAATACTATATTTTTTGTTTGGTCTCGCTTTGCTTTCGGTGGAAAGTTGGGAAATGATTAGCTATTCCTTGTATGCATAGTTATATAACGCATGCAAAACTAAAGTCTGCACAACCGACATATACACAAGATAATATTGTATAGTGATTGTTAACCCAAACACATAGTATACCGATATCGTTTTTTATTTTTCCCCTTTCGTAGTTTAAAAAACAAATTTGCAGTAAATTACATATTTTATTTCGTTCCACGAGAAAATTTCAATAGAAATTGCATTCGCACATGGTATACCTTTGACGTGTTCATACATAAATTGTAAAAAAAAATCAATACCTACACCATATTATTATAAGAGACAAATTATTTTCGTTGTACGTTTATTTTCTAAGACACTTTAATACCCTTTATGCGGGTAATATACGACCCGAGTGTTCTTACATCGATACTAAATAATACTCTTGAATACTTTTGAACTATGATAATAGTTTTGTTCCAATTATGAATTTGAGTAACAATAGAAGCTTCATTTTTTTTTGAGAACAATACGAATGCAATTCGAATTTTTAACGTGATATTTCAAACTAAAAATTACATGTTTGATAATATTTTAAAATATTGTTATAAATAATATTGTATTTATTGTTATAATACATATTATTATTATAGGAAAGGGGTATTCAAATTACAAACCCAATATCGCGCGGTAACTTACACCTTAGGGACTTACCCTTAACGACGAGTATAATAAGATTATTTAAGTCTAACTGATGTTAATTTAACTTTCGAACTTTGTTTTTGCTATACTCTAAAACTTTCACACATGGACTACTGCCCTTCCTCCCCTGTGCCCTTCATATATTATACTATTAATAAGGGATGATCTTAAAACCTATTGTAATGTTTAAAAATTGGTTTTATGGTCTATAAAAATCGACCTCTAAACATTTTTACATGTTTATTATATATTAAGAAATGTATTTTGAGCGAAAAGCTCTTTAAAAAATATGACATTTGATGTTTTTCGGTCAGTCTAATATGTATGTATATATTTATTAATGCATATAGAGTACATGTTACTGTTACCAACAAGAAAGAACATTATACAATTTCTTTTATACAACATATATTATGTAGTAATAGTGTTTTAAGATGTATAGAAAAATTATAGTATCAAAAAAAAAAAAAAAACTGAAGGGGTATTC